TCTTCAAACTTTTGTAGCTAAGATAGCAGACATGCACCAACAGGAGATGAGATCTCCTTAACGTTTGCTCAGGCTGGCCTGGAACTGGACTCACCTCTTGAGTAGCAGGGATTACAGTTATGCACAATAACACCTGGTGTTTGTTTTTTGTGGGGTTTTTTTGTTGTTTTTTTTTTTGTCAGTCATGGGGCCTGAACTCGGCCTGGGCACTGTCCCTCAGCTCTTCAGCTCAAGGTTAGCGCTCTACCACTTGAGCCATAGCTCCACTGCCGGCTTTTTCTGCTTATGTGGTGCTGAGGAATGAAACCCAGAGTCTCATGCATTCAAAGCAAGCACTCTACCACTAAGCCACCTTCCTAGCCCTGTTTTTTTGTTTTTGAGACAGGGCCTTACCAGGTCACCAAAGCTGGCCTCAAACGCACTATGTAGCTGAAAATAGCCCCCAACTCAAAATCATCCTGCCTCAACCTCCTGAATGTTACTACGTCTAATTTAGTTCTATATTTAAAAAAAAAAAAAAGGAAGAAAGAAAAAGAAAGAGATCTGTACTGTAGCCCTTGTGTCAACAGATAACCCTGGGTTTACTGTGTCATTGACTTTTATGTTATTTATATAGCCATCCTACATCCTTCATGTATTTCTCGATTCCTAGCAGCCTTTGCTTATCCTTTGATCATCTGGCAATACCAGCCACATGAAGTGCCTCCAAACTATCTACTTTCCTCATTTTAAATTCATTTCTTTAAGCAAAAAGACATTGTCAAGATTAATAAATATAGCAAAAAGATCTCTGCAACATGTCAGAACAAACTAGTCCACAAAGGAAGACATACCAGCCTTTTTTTTTTTAATCACTTCCTAAACCTGCCTCAAAGACAAAGAAAGGGAAGAGACCCTTCATCTCTTTTTATCCAAATACCAAACCTAAGTTCTGGCTTCTTGTTAGTACTTCAGCTCACCAATCTGCTAATAAAATACGACTCCCTCCTGAAGTAAGAACTTGCTATAAACCCTTTGAGAGGGAGAGGTGCAGGTCACTAACTAGGTCCTTCTAGTTGTGTTACTCTCTTTGTCTGTCACCCTGTGGCAGCCACACAAATTGAAAGGCAGCAGTCCAGCCAGACAGATGGAAGAGAACCAAAGAACACAGGAATTGGGAGCGATAATGAAACTCATTCCTAGTGTTCCCAAGGTTCTTCAAGCGCTGCCTTAGAGCTCACTTTTTTAGAAACAACCACCCTTGATTATAAGGGGTGTCTGGGAATTCAGTAGAGACTTCAGGGACAGAGGTGGATTGGGCCATCAGCTCCCACCATCAGCTCCTGCCATCATCGACTAGAGCAGAAAATTTTGCTGGGGAAAAAGTGTTCCGCGTGGTTGAACAACCTGTGTGCTCTCCATCTGACAAACGCCCTTCCACAATAACAAGGGAGGAGCACTGACGGACGCACCTTCAACACCTGGCTCTGCGGGAAGGCTGCCAGACCCAGAGGCCACAGGCAGGAGATGCTGAGTGCAAAAGGCAACCCTGGGAAAGCCGGCCGGAAATGGGGGCCGACGGCAGGCGGGTGCCAGGCGTCTCTGGGGTGGCAGGACGTGGTCCCACAGTGGCTCGCGGGGCCGACCGCACCACGCGGCACATTCACTCGGAGTCAGGTGAGTAACGCTGGCGAGTACGCTTGAAAAGGGGGCTTTACGGCCCGACGCCCCGTAGGACGAGGCCCGGGGGCGGGGCCGCGGCTCGGGGCCGACTTCAAACCCCCGGGAGCACAAGGAAAGGAAGTCTCCGGTCTCCGACTGCGGCCGGGGGGCGGCGTCACTCCGCGCGGGGAGCCGCGAGCCGCGGGCTCCGCGTCCAGCGCGGGGCGGCCGTCCGCCGAGGTCGGCGCCGGGGCCCGCGCGCGCGGGCTGCTGCCACCCGGCGCAGGGCCGGGAGACCCCCGCCGGACCTCGCGCCCGCCTCCCCGGCTCCCGCAGGCGGGCAGCGGCCGGGGCCGGGCCCGCCGCCTCGCCCCGCTCAAGTGTACCTCACGGGAAGAGATGGCGAACCGGCCCGGGGGTCCGAACGGCGCGCGGCCGCCCGGGGCCGTGGTCCGCCCGCCCGCCCGCCCGCTCGGCCGCCCGGGGCCGTGGTCCGCCCGCCCGCCCGGCCGGCCGCCGCAGTGCGGGGCCGCGGGGAGCACGGCGGCCTCGGGCCCCGGCCCCGGGCGCGGCCTCTGAGGCGCAGCGGCGGGACGGCGGGACGGCGGGACGGCGGGCGCGGCGCGCGGATGACGTACCTGCCGCCGCCTCAGGCTCGGGGTCGGCGGGCCCGGAGAAACGGCGCCTCCGCCGCAAACGCGCCTCGGCTCTCCATTCGGGGCTGTTTACTCACAACTCTCGCGAGACTTGGCCCGTGGTGTAGCGGGGAGACCCACGGCGGACGGCGTCCACCCTGCGTGCCCTGCGTACCCTGCGTGCGCGCTCCAGGCGCCGGGGGCCGCGGGGAGGGACGGAGGTCTCGCGGCGTTTGAGGCCCGGGGCTGCGCGCGGGGCTGCGGGCGGGCGGGCGTGGCCGGCGGCGGCGAGGGCGCACCTGGGCCCTCCGGGGCCGGAAGTGCTCTTCTGGGATCAGCCCAGGTCGAGGGGTCACACAGCCTCCACCCGCCCCCCCGCCCCTCCCGGAACCTAGGGACCAGCAAGCGCCGGGTAAAGGGTCCCGCCCGGGCTACCACCGTTCCCAGCCCTACCGCAACCTCCCAGACCAGGGTCCCCGTACAGAAGAGGATCTGCAGTCCCGCGAAGCGGAGCTATTTGAAATAGAAACAGCCAAAGGCAGCGGCTGAACCGGGGGACTCCGGGGCTCCCAGGCTACTTCAGAAGCAAAAGATGCCCGAGGTTAAGTGGCCCTGCAGCTGGCGGTGCTGGGAGCCGTCTCGTAGGCAGCTTCAAGCATGAGCTTCAGCCTTGACACAGATGTGAAGAGGTGCTGGGGGGCGGGCCAGGTGTATGGGCTCAAGTCTGGGATACCATCCATTTGGGAGGCAGAGATCAGGAAGCCAGCCAGGCCCCCTCCTCCCAAAACAAATGGCAAGACCCCATCCCAACAAACATATTGAATATGGAGATTCACATCTGTAATCTTAGCTACAAAAAAAAAATGCACAGGTAAGAGGATTGCAGTCTGAGGCAAATCCTGGGCAAAAGCAGAAGACTCTATTTAAACAAAAAAGCAAAAAGGGATGTGGGAGCTTGGCTTATGTGGTAAAAGCATTAGGCTAGCAAGCATCAGGCTGAGTTCAAACTCCAGTCCTGCCAAAAGAAAAAGAAAAATCTCCACAACTTCATGAGTGAGAATCCACCGAAGGCAGCTGTCAGGATTACATTTTAGGAAGGCAATGAGGCAGCCTGGCCAGCCCAGCACCTGCTGCCCCATGGTCCTGCCCCTTAGTGATGGCTGGGTGGAAGTAACTCCAATGACCATGCCAGACTCATCTTGTGCAAGAACCCATTACTTGGGCTCATCCCTACCACCTGACTACAGTGGCTCAGAGCAAGCCACCATGTCCATGCTGCCAAAATCATTGATCACACCTCCCCCCCTCATAGCAGGTGTGGCGGTACACACCTGTAATCTCAGCACTCGGGAGGCTGAGGCAGGAGGACAGAGAGTTGGAGTCCAACTTTGTAGCTGGGCTACAAAGTAGTTCAAGGCCAATCTGGGTTACAAACAGACCTGTTTCAAAAATAAAGAAAAACTTCACTGTACACACAGCTAAGCAGAGATCAGGAGCCACTTGGCACCCTGGGCTTCCCAGGCCCGGGGCAGGTATACCATTGTCACGGCAACATCATTCTAGTGAATTACAGCCACACACGCTCTCAGATTAATTCTTCCCATCATCTCCACAAGAAGAACCCTCTTTCCAAACCATCAGCTGACAAACATTGACAACAAAATCTTTTCCAAGGAAATGCAATGCTTTTATTGTTCCACCTGCAGATTCCATCTCCAAGACGCAGATGCCCCACATCCTTAACACTGGCTGGAAACGTCACGGTCTGATGAATTCTCCAACAAGCTTCCAGGGGAGAAAGCTCTTTACCAGGGCTAGAAAACCTAAGCAGTCTCTGTGTTGATCCTATGCTGAAAGGAGGGACAAACTGCCCACAGCTGCCCCAATCAGCCCTTCTGGCTGAGTCTGCCAAGGGGAGAAGCTGCAAGGACATCCTACCACACCACAGAACTTTACACATGACTGGCACCAGATCTACGAGTCTAGGCTGTCCTAGAACTCTAGATCCTACCTCACCATCCAGAGTGCTGGAGTCACAGGCATGCACCACCACACCCAGCCTGACAGTTTTTACACAAAGTTGCTGGTACTTATTTCACATCAACAATGTTCTCATCCATGCAACAAGAAGAGGAATTTGAGTCATCTGTGCTGAATCCTTTGCTGCCATACAGTATCTTCAAGCATAGTTTTCACATCTTTGAACACATGATTTAGGAGTGAAAGAACTTCAGAACTTCAGCAGGAACACCTTCCAGGTGTATGTCTCAGCTGGAGATGCTATGGGCAAGGTTGCAGGCCCAAGAGTTTAAAAGCACATAGGCCACCTCACCACTGACAGAACACCCACATAGCTCTACCAGTCCCCACTGCCAACCAAGTTCCCAGCTTTCACATCACAGTACTGTATTATTACTATGTATCACAATATTATATCCCAGCATTGGCATCACAGTAGTAACCTCTTGAGTTTTAATTCTGCACCTTCTGCCATGTTTGCATAGGGACATGACACTAGGAGCGTGGCCCTTGAGGACTACGGGCTTCCTAAGATCTGAACTAAAGCCATCTCACAGTAGGTCCAAAACTAACCTGTACAGTGGGGGGCTGCACCCACCCATTTGTCTTCACACCAATAAAAGCATTCACTATGTAATGCACAAGGCCACTACAGAGGCCAAAAGTGAGCTTCTAAATTACTATTTAACAGATACAATACATTGGATCACACACATAATGTGTCCATATTTTTAACTACAATTCCATAAATACTTGATGTTTACATCCATGACATCAGGGGAATGCAGTAGGACGACATAGAAAAGTGTATGAAAATCAGACAGAACAAGCTCTGAGGGCTGGATGTCACACTGGGAAGTCGCTACCTATCCACAATAATCAAAAGCTGACTGAGGGTTACCTGATGCAGACCAAATCTAGGAACAAAGACAGCACTGTAGAGGAGCAGGGTGAGACATGGTAACCTACAGCACAGGCTGGGGGCTGGTTCATAGGACCAAGAGGAGGACAGACTTCTCATACCCTGGAAGGTTCCACTTATGTCATCTGGACAAGTCCTCTCTTTAAAACACAACCATAAATAAAGCTGCTCAGAAACATAATGCACACAGCACACGCGGTCCTCTGGGCCCTCAGGGAAGGGTGGCATCTCCACACACCCACCACAGCCGCTGCCTTGGCGCCATATACGCGTCCACGCTGAGGCCCTCTGCTTTGCAATGGTCTTCCTAGTGAACATCTGAGAACCCCACAGTCGCCTACCAGGAGAAAATAAGTAACTCCCTTAAAAAGCAACAGCAGCAGCGGTAGGCGCCACCAGGTGACATGGGGTGAGATTGCTGGGGCTCTTATGAAGACGACAACATGATGACACACACCGTGGATAGACGTGAGTCACACCACTGCTGGGCAGTGGGAGGCAAAGCCACACTGAGGCCCCTCCCCCAGCTCCCCGCCCGGGCGGCTGGCACTGTGCTCTGTGCCACACCTGTGGCCCAAGAGCTTTTCACAGCACTCTCAAAGTCTGCTTTGCAAATGAGGAATCAGTGTGCCAGATAATCAGCAATGAAAGAAAATACAGCACAGAAGTTATATGTGTTTCTCCAAACGTGGGAACACTGCAGGCTCCCAGCGCAGGCTCAGGCCATGCAGGACAAGGCCTGCTTACGTAAGGATCGGTGGAGCAGGTTTGCGCCCCATACCCACAGCCATTCGGGCATGTACTGTGCAAAGAGAAACTGAAAATGAGAGAGAAAAAAAAGCTGAAGGTTAGAGTCCAAAGCCATCAACACTCATGCACATGATTTATCAGACAAATAGCTGCAACCTTACTAAGGACAAGGGAGAAAGCCAGCCCCTGGTTTGTATGGAACAACTTTTGCAGAAGACACGATCCTATAATCATTGCGGAACAAGCAGATGTGATCAACTTAAGTTGTTACTATCTCTCCTTCCCTTCTCCCCCCGTCCCCCCCACCCCCCGCACACCACACACACACACACACACACACACGCGCACACACACACACACACACACACACACACACGTGCATGCGCACATCCTGTCTAGAATGATGTGTGTGGTTGCCAATGCCATCTTTATCTCACATGGGATGAACAGTTACTAACAGGTTAGTAGTCCACGAAGAGCCGACTTCGGGGGACAGGCTGGAACATACTTAAAGGAGAACTAAGAAACTCTAGTACTTGAAAAGGTGGCTGGGGACATGAGGAAGGGGCTCAGGGAACCAGGAGGGGTCTCGACCCATCCCAGCCAGAGATGGCAGTGTCTGGAAACACGTCTGGCTGTCACACTGGGTGTTGCTGGTTCCTAATGACACAGGGATGTCGCACAACAGATTGATAATATTGGAAATAATTTGAGTAAAATAAAAATGATATTGAAAAGGTGGAAATGGAACAGTTCTGTGGGGGGAATCTACCTCAGGAATCAAATGAGCTTCATAAACACTCAGGAGAACACTCTAAGGAGCTCATCCGTGCACACAAGGTTTGCGACTAGAACACTGGTGCATATAAATTACACAGTACTAGAGGCTGAGGTTGGAAGGACCAAAGTTTGAGGTGAGCCTAAGCAGAAAAAAAAAAAAAGAAAAAAGAAAAAGAAAGGGAGGGAGGGAAGAAACCTCCAAGTATTAAAAAAGTCTGAATTAGTGCACAGCTAGTTTCTATGCTAGATAATAAAGCACAAATTACTGAATGAACCACAAACCAGTTGTTATAAATCACTGAGTTCTCTCCCTAATACTCAGAATCATAATTTTAAATATTTAACTATTTAAATATTTAACAAAGCCAAGATTCTCTTAACAGACCTAGGTCTTTGTCATGTCTGAACAACAAATTTTAAACAACAAACTTTGCTGCCTGAACAAATGAGTCCAAGAATACAGAGACACTCTGGAGGTCATGGTCATGTGAGGGAGATGTGCACTATCTTGGGGTCTCAGGCTTTTCACCTTGAGGTTCACTTGGAGGTCACCCTTCGAGTAGTGCTGGAGTCTTCACTATGGAGTTCCCGCCCAGCCTTCTCACTCCGGCCCCCACCCTCTCCCACTAAGGCAGTGTGTGTGTTCCATCTGTAGCTGTCAGACAGGCTGAGAGCATCTTCATGTTGTAAGCTGAGACTGTGAGTACAGTCAGCATGCACAGTCCTCCCCTCTCCACCCTGGCCCGTGTGTCACTGAGCAAGCTTAGAAGCCACCCTACCTGAATGGAGTGGGACCAGTATCCCGTGGTCCTCTTCGAAATCCCCAGAGTAGAAACTGCATGATGTGCGTATACCTTAGGTGAAGGCACCAGCCAGGGGCATCGGTGCAGAAAGCTGCCAGGTGTAGCCACGTTGGTGGCTACGTAGAAAGGAATTAGACTCTGTACAAAGATTCCTTTAGAAGCATACTCATACTGCAAGGCTCTGCTGAAGTGGTCTAAGTAAGCCTGGAAGAAAGAGGAGGAGGCAGCTCTTAAGAGGAAACATGGAAGCAAGTGTGGAGGGAGAGAAGACTTGCTTATTATCATTCCAGAAAAAAATACAGCCTAAGCAAACAGGAGCTGCTGGAAAAGAGCTCATGGCTGTAAATAAACGGCCTGTCGTTTGAGGATTTCATTTTCTGGGAAGGAAAAACTGACCTTCGATGCAGAAAACGCAGCCAGCTGTGGAGTAGGTTTACAGCAAGAGCCAGACGAGATGGTAACGATGGCGCCCCTCTTCCTCTCCACCATTCCTGGCAACACCATGTGGACCAGCAAACTAGCAGCAGCAATGTTGACATTTATGATGTCCCAGAGCTTGTCCTCTGAGACCTGAGCAAAATACTGCGGGTAGGGGTAGGACACGCCCACGTCATTTACCAAGATGCCAACGTCCCTGTCTTTCAGGGCTTCTCGAATGGGAACATAGATCTCTCGTCCTCGGCTGAAGTCTGCCACTATAACATCAGTTTCTACTTTGTAGGTGTCGGCTATATCCTTGGCAACAGTCTGCACCTTCTCTTTGTTCCCACTAATGAGGATAATGTTGAGACCTTGGCTCGCTAATTCTTCTGCATAGGCTTTTCCGATTCCATCTGCTGCACCTGAAATGCAAGCCAAGAAACCTGAGCGTGCTTGTTCCAAGGGACCTTCACAAGAAACCTCCTTCCCCACAGCCAGTTCAACAGAGACGACTGCACCCCAGGGAGTGCACATTCCACCCCCACAGGGCAAGGGCATGCTGAATGAGGGATGCAAAGGCTGCGCGCCAGACACCCCAGCGCTCCACAGTCAGACAGGGCTGTTTGACACCCAGCACAAGGGCAAGAGATGAAGTAGGAGTTTGTTTCCAAACTTCCATCTGGCTTGTATGAGCACCAGGAGGTGCTTTTCTGGGACACTGTGATGGAAATTCAAAAATCAAAAAGGGAATGTGAGGGACAGGAAGTGCGACTGCCTCAGGCTGAGATGAGGCGGTGGAAGGCAGCACGCTGCCCGGAGCCAAGGTCTTTTGAAGAGGAGGGCAGGCGGGGATAGGCACTCTTAACCACCTGTTCACGGGAAAACATCGCAGCAAACACAACAGCTCCTTGACTACAGCTTCCCGCTTAAAATACGAAAGAACACAAAATCTGGTTACCACTGACGACAGCCCATCTTCCGTACTGCTTCATCAGGTCTGCCCTGCTGCCCAGGCGTGGGATGAAGTGCAGCCTGACCAGGCTGTAGAAGTCACAGATGACGGTGATGCTTTTCCTGGCTGTGTACCAGGCTCCCACCAATGCCAGGGCTTCCATGTAGCAATTGCAAGACCTGGCAATTTCTCTGTACAAGAGGTAGAAGCTGTCCACAGCAGCCATGGTACCCTGCAGGGACAGGAAAAAGGTGTTTAAGGACCACGCAGGACACATATCCTGATGCCTGCATTCAGGTAACAGTGACCCCTCCAAGGCCTGCGGCCTGTGCACCCTGCCAGCTGATGATCTGCTCAGTTAATACCTGGGTCTCCACAAGTTCCTTTCTCCCCAGGAGACTCATCAATACAATTACCACATTCCCAGATTCCTCCTAAAATTCTGATGCTAATACTATGTGTTGTGGGGAAAGAAGTAAGCACAATGTGCTGAACTCTTTTTTTTTTTTTTTAATTCCTGTTCCTGCAGAGTAAGATGACAGACTCAAAAGACACAGGCTCAATTCATAGAGAGTTGTCAGCAAGTACAGAGGCCTCCATAGCCACGGGCACGGTGGAGGAGGCAGAGGCTGTGTGGGGCAAGGCCCTAGCCTAATGACCTTAGCATCCTCCTAGACAAAACCAAGCTTGCACAGAAAAGCATTCTGTACAAGGGTAAGGTGGCCAAATCTGTTAGTGTTTGGGAGGCTGAGGCAGGAGGATGGTGATTTAGAGGCCAGCATGGGCTATCCATGCACTGACACTCTGTCTTGGCAAAACAACCTAAAGCAAATAAACAAAGAGTGAAGAGGCAGACACTTAACCAGATGATGAAAACATCATGTGACTGGTGGGTATACATGTGCTGGCCATCGGAGGTCGGCTGGAGATGCTGACCAAGGAGATGCATGACCTACAGGCGAAGTCAGAGGCCACAGTGCCTGAGTGGTTATCATTATGAGAGCCATATCCAACGGCCAAAACACTGACTTCTTGTAAGAAAAAGCGTTAGGGCCGGGGATGCACTGCTCACACCTGTTAATTTCAGTTACTCATATCTCAGTCCAAGGCTGGCCCAAGTGAAAGAAACTGGCCTAGCAAGCTCTAGGCCATGAGTTCAATCCCAGTAGCCCCTGCCCCACACACACAGGAAAGAAAAAGTATTAAAACTTCAAGCTCTATGTTAAACCATCCTAAATGAGCTGGTCCTGAAATAGCTTTTTTAAAGCATGTGTTTCTTCATTATGACTAATCAAACTCCAGAATATATATAAAGCAAACACAAGTCAGACACAATGGTGCAAAACTGTAATCCCAGCACTCAAGAGGCTGAGACAGGAGGATGGGGAGTTCAAGACCAGCTTGGGTGGAAAAAGAAGGGAAGGGATTGAAGGGGAGGGGAAGAAAAATTACTTGTGTTAGGCCTTCTCAATTAAAGGGTAACAGAATGACAAGGCGGAGGAGCAGCTCAGGGGCAAAGCAAAGCATGTGCCTAGCATGGGCTAGATTCCCAAAGAAAGAAAAGGAAGAAAATGAGGACTTCAGACCACTGAGCACTTGGGATAGAAGCCTATTCTGGTGGTGTGGGTGTGTCCAGGGGGCTGGAACAGTACTTTCAATGAAGCTGCACGCCCCATGTACAGACCGTAGGCTGGTGTGGGCACACTTGTGGGCGGACCACGCACTGAGTGCAGTGCCCACTGTGCATGCGCAGCTCCAAGACAGAGGCCAGGGCTGCCTCTGGGGACCTCACACCACAGCTGTGGAGAGGAAACTCCTGCCCCTGGAGCCCAACTGTCTCAACAGCCGGAACATCTGGGGAGGAGTCAGACATCAAGGGCTCCCAAGCGTCCCGCTGCAGCTCTCTTACCTTCTCTCCGTGGGCCTGGACCTTCTGACCACTGACCACGTCCTCCGAAGGCCGAGCTGTGAACAAAAGCCAACAAGACACAGACTTCTTTCTTTTCCCTCACAGCACAGCTGGAAAGACATTACATAACATTAAGATTCAAGTTTTCCAGAGAAGACACAAAACTTCTCCTGCACCAGGGGCATAGATGGCCTTCATCTCAGAACGCGGCACGGGGCGCACCTGCCCAGTCCACCTGCCTGTCTCAGAATGAGTCACAGGAGGGGGTGCACCTGGCCACCCGCCTTTGTCTCAGAACAAGTTGGGGGGGGCTGGTCAGTCCACCCACTTTCACTTCAGAACAAGGCACCAGGGTGTGCCTGGCCTCCCGCCTTTGTCTCAGAACGAAGCACTGACCAGTCCACCAGGCTGCATCTCAGAATGAGGCACTGGGGTGCGTCTGGGCAGTCCACCAACCCCAGTGCCCCCTTCCTACACCTCTTCTCCCAGTAATGCGACCAAATGGACAGATGGACTGTTTGGAGGAAATTAACTTGGGGGGAATGGCAACAAAAACACCAGGGGCCTCAGGCAGGCAGCTGTGTTTCCCAAGACACCTCACCTGCCATCCCACCTCTCCCTGCTGGCATGCACGAAGCCCTGGGTTCCATTCCTCAGCACCACATACACAGAAAAAGCAGGAAGGCAGAGCGTAGCCTCGAACAGAGAGACTCAGGGACAGTGCCCAGGCTCTGAATTCAAGCCCCAGGATTGGCAAAAGAAGAAAGAAAGAAAGAAAGAAAGAAAGAAAGAAAGAAAGAAAGAAAGAAAGAAAGAAAGAAAGAAAGAAAGAAAGAAAGAAAGAAAGAAAGAAAGAAAGAAAGAAAGAAAGAAGGAAGGAAGGAAGGAAGGAAGGAAAGGAAGAAAGAGAGAGAGAAAGAAAGAGAGAAAGAAAGAAAGAAAGAGAGAAAGAGAAAAGAGACAAAGAAAGAAAGAAAGAAAGACAAAGAAAGAAAGAAAGAAAGAAAGGAAGCAAGCAAGCAAGCAAGCTAGGTAGCTGTGTGGAACTCATCTTCAGGGCAGGCAGGAGGGCACTGATTTGGGGAGGGACAGGTGAGGTGGGAGGGGCAGCCTGAGCCCTGGGCTGGGGTCTGATGGACAGCACGGACCTCGGCAGACCTCGCTGCATTTCCACATCTGCTCAGACCCCATTCAGAGAAGTTTCAGCAAATCACCCACACTGTCCTCCCAGTCCTGACCCTTCAATGCACCATGGAAAGTAATCTCCAGGAGAAGAAAGCCAGCCTTGCCCCAGAGCCATTACATTACATTCCAAGAATGCCCAGCCCCTCACCGAAACAGTCCTAACCCATCTCCCTGCTCAGTGACGGCCACACCCGGCCAGACACCACGCTGCACTAATCCTTTGGAAGTCTGATTATGTAAAGTAATCCCCACAAGTTCTTCTATTAGACCCTGTGGGGGGTGGGGGGGCAGGGGCAGCAAGGCCTCTGGCTCACTGACTGGACGGTCAGCTGAACAATCCAACCTGCATGCCAGTCAACACAGCATCGTGCATGGCAGAAGGGCATCTGTAGGTGTGACCAAGGACCCCTGCCCAGGAGGAAGTGCTTCTGCTCTTCCTCCTGGAACAGAGAGGAAGACCAAACATGGAGATGGAACCACAGAGGCAGAATGCAAGAGCATGTGATCTCATGGTACCCCCGCAACAGGGTGTGAAGATAGAGATGGGGTCACCAGACAAGGACTGACTGGTGCCTCTCGAAGCCAGCAAAGTAGACAAAGGATTCTCCTCCAGGAGGAGCCAGCCCTGTTGGGTGCCTTCAATTTAGCCCAGCAAGATGAATCTTAGCCTTTTGACCTTCAGAACCCTAAACCCTAAGGCTAAACTTGTGGGGGTCTTTTGTTTGGCAGTGCTGGGGCCTCACACTTGAAAGGCTGGTGTGCTACCACTTGAGCCACACCTCTACCCCCTTTCTACATTGGTTATTATTCTCAGAGGAGATGCTTGCTTTCTTCCCTGGGCTGCCCTGGGCTCCAATCCTCCGACTTGGGCTACCTAGAACTTCTAGAATGGGCAGCATGTACCACAGTACCCAACTACTGTCCGAGGATCACAGGTGGGTGAGCAGCACTGGGCCTAGCCATTGAAATGTCTCGTGAGCTATCTGCCTGTTTGGTAAAACCTGGACTCCCACATCTCCAGCTCCCACATAGCTCAGGAGCAGGAGTGTGAGCCAGCACACTCAGATTAAACGTGTGTGTGGTTATAAGTTGTTTCTGTGGTAATGGGAAAAGGGATAAACTGTCAGTCTGGCAGCTAGGATAGTAGAAAGGAAGCTGGAAATGTAGCCATGTTCCCAAAGCAAGAGCCATCAAGCAGAAGGCACTGGAGTCTCCTCAGAAGCAGGAGCGAGGAGCTGAGGTGCTTGCCTAGAGCCACGCCATGTGTAGCCCAGGTCTTTGGCAAGATTAATTCATTTAAATAATTAATTCCAGGGCCATGGATGATACTCAGTTCAGGCTGACAGAGGACAGGAACTGTATCTAAAGCAAACTTTTCTGATATTTGAAAAATATACTCAAGTGTGCAGAACCTACTATGGCAGCTGCCAGTCTAGTTAACCAACAATACCAGAGGCCAGGAGCCCCTGGGATCTGCCCTGACCAGGTCCCTCCCCTGCACAGGAGGAACTGCCCCCAAATTCTGAAGACCTCATGGCTTCTCTGATCCCCAAAGGGGCTGAAATTCTTTACACATTTATGTACTGTTGTTTAATCCATGAAATCTGTTCCCATCTGGTGCCTCTTTTCCCACAGTGTTGTCTTCTTTTTCCTCAGAGAATTGGAAGACTCTAGGGCCAAGGAGTGGCTCAGGTGGTAGAGCAAAGCCAAGTTCAGACCCCAGTACAATTTTTTTTAAATTCTTTAGCTTTTAGATGCAAGTTCTCTGCATATTCTGTGTCTCTTTCTGCAGCATTTGATGAATGTCTTAATTGTCTATGGAGAAAAATGTATCAGTGTTTCTCCTTGAAGGTTCATGATTGTTTTATTTCAGAAATACTACCTTAGCTCCAAGTCATGAAGCCATCTCCACAATATTTTCTAGAAACCTTACAGCTCTGCTATTCAGATATAAGTTCTTACCCTGGTGGGACTTTTGTAACGATGTGATATAATCTCATATATCTTGAATATTATTACTCCCCAACTCCTGGCACACTGCTACGCAAATAATATTTAATAAACAGACTAAAATACTCCTTTGAGTGAACCTCACTATTTGGGGGGGGACCTTGAACTCAGGGCCTGAGTGCTGCCCCCCCCCCCTCCCCGCGCGCTTTTTTGCTAATGGCTGGAGCTCTATCACTTGAGCCAGGGCCCAATTCTGAGTTTTGCTGGTTGAGAGAAGGAATCTTGCAGACTTTGCTGCCCAGGATGTTTTCCAACAATCCTCCACGTCTCCATCCCCTGAGTAGTTAGGATTGTAAGCACGAGCCACCGGCGCCCGGGAAGACCACGGTTCTCTTCCAACACCCAGTACCCATCAACACACAGGAGGCGTTAAAATAAGAAGGCGCCCCACGCCCGGGCCGACACCCAAGACAATGGAGCCACTGGGCTGCATTTAAACGGCGGCCTCCTCGGGGACCAGACGACCAGCGGCTGCCCACCGCACCGTGCAGGGGGAATAAGGCACTGACGCGGGACGGGCCTGGGGAGCCGGACACCGCGCACCACTCAGGCCGCGCGTGGGGGCCGTGCGCGAGGCTCCTCCGGCCTCCCGGGCCCCGCTCCCCCCGGGCCCCGCTCCCCCCGGGCCTCCGCTCCCCCCGGGCCCCGCTCCCCCGGGCCTCCGCTCCCCCCGGGCCCCGCTCCCCCCGGGCCTCCGCTCCCCCCGGGCCTCCGCTCCCCCCGGGCCCCGGGGTCCCCGCCCCCCCCCCGCCAGCCACGCGCTCCCCGGGCCCCGCGCCCCCCGGGCCCGCTCCCCCCCGCTCCCCGTGCCCCGCTCCCCGCTCCCCCCGCGCCCCGGGGTCTCCGCTCCTCCCGGGGTCCCCGCGCCCCCCGGGCCCGCTCCCCCCGCGCCCCGGGGTCTCCGCTCCCCCCGGGGTCCCCGGGCCCCGCGCCCCCCGGGCCCCGGGGTCTCCGCGCCCCCCGGGCCCGCTCCCCCCGCTCCCCGCTCCCCCCGCTCCCCGCGCCCCCCGGGCCCCGCTCCCCCCGCGCCCCGGGGTCTCCGCGCCCCCCGGGCCCCGCTCCCCCCGGGGTCCCCGCCCCCCCGCCGCCAGCCACGCGCCGCCCCCCCCCCCGCGCCCTCCTCCGGGAGCACCGCCATTCCCGACTGACTCCACGCCGGAGCCCCGCACCCACGGCCCCGCACCTACTCGAGCCGAGCCCTTCGGGACCGAGGAGGCGGAGGCCCCCGCGGAGGGGGCGCGGGGCGCTCGGGCGCGGGGCCGGCCGCAGAGGGCGAGGCCGCGCCCGGGGCGGGGCGGGGGGGGAACCCGCGAGGGACGGAGGACGCGCGGGGCGCGGTACCTGCAGGGAGCCGCTCCCGCCCGAGCCGCGCGGCCGCCGCCCGCGTCGCCGCCACCCCTGGGCTCCGCCCCACGTGTGGAGCCCACGTGACCCGCCCTACACGCCGAGGGGCGGAGCCCGCGCCAGGCCCGCCTCCGGCGTGGCGCAGTGCGCGTGCGCGGCGGTTACCCTGGCGACCCTGGGAAGCGTTGGGCTGCCGCAGAGCCGGCGCCGGCGTCGGAGCGGAAAGCGGGGCTCCTTGGGCAGGGCTGCGGGGCGCTCGGCGTGAGAGGCGTGGACATGCACCCCGAGGCCGCGGAGCCCGCCGCGGACGGCGCTCAGGGGCCCGGCGAGGAGGGGCCCCGAGCGCAGGAAGCTGGTGCGGACAAGCCCAGACCGGACAAGCCCCGAGTGGAGGAGTCCGCGGGCGACCACCCGGACCAGGGCGTCCGCGGGGAAGGTGCTGAGCGCAGCAGGCCCGGGGACGAGGCCGGGGGTGAGCGTCCCGCGCCGCGGCGGCGGCCCTCCGGCAGCCAGGGCACGCGTCCGCTCCCGGCCACCCCCGGGCCCCTCTCCCCACTGGAGCCAAACCAGCCACAGAACCGAGACCCGGCCCGGCGGGGCCCAGCCCTGGCCTAGCCACCCCCCTCCCGCCTCCCCGCCAACTTTGGTTTTGAGCCTTGCAGTTAAATTGCTCACCGCCTGTCCCGGGTTGCTTGGGAGTGACTGGACCAAGACGTGGGCCTAGAACCTGAAGGCTGTGAGACTCAGCCTTCTTGTCTACCTGTGAGCAGGGATCATTGTATAGACATAGGGGGAGATCATTATAAAGTCTCTAGCCAGGTGCCGGGGGCCCACACCGTCATCCCAGCCAGTCAGGAGGCTGAGATCTAGAGGGTTGCAGCTCAGGGCCTGGGCAAAAAATGTCCACAAGATTCCATCTCCATAAGAACCAGTAAAGTGCTGGGCTTGGAAGTGGGACACAAGTGGAAGAGAGCTGGTTGTGAGCAAAAAAGTCTAGCAAGCAAAAGGCTCTTGAGTTCAAACCCTAGTCACACACACAGAGTTTGCAGCTTGTACTGGGTCACTAATAAATGGTAGCTCTTGTTATTAACACAATCCGTCAGTCTTTCACTGAGCACCCACTCATTATTCCGCAAACGCCGGTCTGCTTGCTGTGTGACTGGGCGTTGTAGGCAGTAAGGACATGTGACATAGCTCAGACTCATCCTGTGATACTAAGACACACAGCCCTTAAAAATTACACGCCTTAGCCAGGCGCCGGGTGACTCACGTCTGTCATCCTAGCTACTCAGGAGGCTGAGATCTGAGGATCCCAGTTCAAAGCCAGCCCAGGCAAGAAAGTTTGTGAGACTCTTTATCTCCAATGAACCAGCTGGAAATCGGAAGTGGTGCTGTGGCTCAAGTGGTAGAGTGCTCGCCTTGAGCTGAAGAGCTGAGGGACAGCACCCAGGCCCAGAGTTCAAGACCCATGACCAACAACAACAAAAAAAGTTCCATGCCTTTTGCCAGGCATCAGTGGCCCATGCCCATAATAACAGCTACTCAGGAGGCTGAGATCTGAGCATCAAAATTTAGAGTCAGCCCAGGTAGGAATGTCTGTGAGACTCTTATCTCCAATTAAAACCACCAAAAAGTCAGAAGTAGAGCTGTGGCTCAGGGTGCCACAGCCTTGAGCAAAAAGTGCCAGCCTTGAGCAAAAAGGCACTCAGGAACAGTGCCCAGGCACTGTTTAAGCCCAATGAATGAACAGAAAACATAACAAATACCTATGGATTGCTACAGAGCTGAAATTGATGAACATTTTGTCTATTTTTTTTAGCTAAGGAAATAAAACATTTCACATAAGGTTGATGGTCACATTTCCACCCTTTTCTCCTCCCATTCCCTTTCTCAAGCAGATTTTGCACATATTTTTAAAAAATCACTGCTTAGTACTCGTGTGCCCTAAGCAACATATTGCACTGGCTTGCATATTTAAAAATTCATATAAAAGGGATCTTGGTGTTTCTGACGAAGCTTGTTTGGTCAGTCCATATTTATTTGAGAACAGTTCATATACCAATCAATCAAGGACATTTTTTCTTAATGTAGTCTTTGCTAACGTTTTAAAAATGGCCCTCCATCGGAGGATTTCTAGTGCTCCTTGCTAAAAGTAGACAGCAATCAAACTGAAAAGGGAGGGAACCTTTTGGGGGCCTTTGTTGATCTCCATAAAGAGAATCTCCTTGATTTTACAGATGTTAATGACCCTAAGGAAGTAGGTGTGGGTTCTTCCGACACAGAGTTCCAGAGCCAGAACCAGCCCAGTGGTGACAGTGGAGCCGACGCTCACCTTGCACACACACGAGATGACAGGGATGAGCGGGGACCCAGGTTTGTGGCATGCTGCACGTTCCCTGGGTGGAGGGCAGACGAGAGGGGATGGTGGGCTCGGTCTGTGGATCACGCACACCCCGTGCACTTCTAGCATCGCCTCTGCAGGGGGCAGTGTCGGCATTTTTATTAGAACATAACCAGCAGTTTTTAAGAATGCTGAAAGTAGCAATGGCAGATGAGGCTCTGAAAATGTGCCAAAAAGGAGGGGGAGTGGGTGCAAAAGAGAAAGGGAGGAGGAATGAAAATAGATGCCCAACATATCAGAGGGTGTAGAGGTTTCAATGTAAGTGGACATAGTCCTGGACCCTAGTGGCTCACATCTCTAATCTTAGTTACTCAAGGAGGCTGAGAGCTGAGGATAAAGGTTCAAAGCCAGCCCAGTAGAAAATCCTGTGAGACCCTTACCTCCAATTAACCAGAAAAAAGGATAGAAGTGGATCTGGTGGCTCATCTGGTAGATAGCCAGAATGGAGCAGAAAAGACCAAATAAGAGGGTGTGGCTGAGTTCAAGTCCCAGAACCTGCACAAAATACAAACATAAATTGATACATTTAAAAGCTTTGAAACTTATATTTCAGCTGGCAAGCTGAAATAAATGTTTTTGTTTTTTTTTTGTCAGTGGTGGGGCTTGAACTCTGGGCCTGGGTGCTGTCCCTCAGCTCTTCAGCTCAAGGCGAGCGCTCTACCACTTGAGCTACAGCGCCACTTCTGGTTTTCTGGTGGTTTATTGGAGATAGGAGTCTCACGGTCTCTCCTGCCCAGGCTGGCTTTGAACCGAGATCCTCAGATCTCAGCCTCCTGAGTAGCTAGGATTATAGGCGTGAGCCACCAGCGCCCGGCTTGTTTTTTAATTGTCATTGTAAGCTGGGCGCTGGTGGCTCACGCCTGCAATCCTAGCTATTCAGGAGGCTGACGCAGTTCAAAGCCAGCCCAGGCAGGAAAGTCCATGAGACTCTTTATCTCCAATAAACCACTAGAAAACCGGGAATGGCACTGTGGCTCAAAGCAGTAGAGTGCTCGCCTTGAGCTGAAGAGCTGAGGGACAGCGCCTAGACCCAGAGTTCAAGCCCTACAACCGACAAAATAAAATAATAAAAAATGTCATTATAAAGGTGAGGTACAGAGGGGTTACAATTATAAAAGTCAGGTAAAGATACATTCACCCGCTTTGCTCCCTTTCTCCCTCCTTCCCTCCCATTTTTCCCCTCTCACCCATACCCACATGGTGAAATAAATTGTTTTGTTGTTTGTTTTCCACCTGAACAGAATGACTAAGAATTTCCTGCAAAAACTCTGCAAACAGCACAAGCTCTACCTGACACCTGCACTGAATGACACTCTGTATCTGCACTTCAAAGGTGAGGGCATGGATTCAGAGGACTCATTATCTGCAGAGATCATCTTGTAGTTAAGTTAAACCGGCAGAGTATAGTGGACATTCATGAAAAAACACTCTTTTAGCCAGGCCTGGTGACTCACACCTGTAATCCCAACTACTCAGCAGGCTAAGATTGAGGATCACAGTTCAAAGCCAGCCCAGAAAGGAAAGTCCGTGAGACTCTTACCTCCAATTAACCACCAAAAAGTTGAGAGGAGAGCTGTGGCTCAAGCAGTAGAGCACTAACCTTGAGAGAAAAGGCTCAGGAACAATGCCCCAGGTCCTGAATTCAAGCCCCAGTACTAGCACATAGGAAAAAAAAAAAGGAAATTTTTGCCTAACAGTCATAAAAGGGCTGCTGGTTGTCTAGATAAAAAGGAAGCATGCTGGATTACTTTTTTGTATTCTAAGAACATAGGATTTTTTAATTTATTTTTTATTGTGAAAATACTGTACAGAGGGGTTACAATTACATGGGCAAGATAATGAGTACATTTCTTATCAAGCATTGCAGCCTCCTCCTTTGTTTCCCCTTCCCATCCCTTCCCATCTTCTCCTCCCCCCCCCCCCGCCCCCCCACCAAAGTTGTAAAGTTCGTTTTTCGACATAACGACTTGTACATCTCATTGTTGCAACGGGTCCTCCTGTATCCCTGTTTTAACGATTAGAACATAGGATTTTCAAAGCTTCCTAACACCTGGCCTTGCCGGGTAGGATTTCAACATCAGAATCCCTCTCATGGACAACAGCAACCATGCCTTGCTCCTCCCCCGGCTTGCCTCCCCCCCCAGCCACCCCCCCCCCCCCCCCCCCGGTCCACCACGGGAGCTCAGTCACCTCACTGGCTCTCTCCCAAGGCTTTGACCGCATTGAGAACCTGGAAGAGTACACAGGCCTGCGCTGCCTCTGGCTGGAGTGTAACGGGATACGGAAAATCGAGAACCTGCAAGCCCAAACCGACCTGCGCTGCCTTTTCCTGCATGTGAACCTGCTCAGCAAGATCGAGAACCTGGAGTCCCTGCAGAAGCTGGACGCACTCAACCTCAGCAACAACCACATCAAGACCATCGAGAACCTCTGTAAGAGCGGCAGCAGGCGCCTTCCCGACCTCAGCATCCGCTCCCTCCTCTCCCCTGGGGCGGCTCCGGGGCTCACTCTCCCCACCCCCCCTTCCAGCCTGCCTCCCCGTGCTGAACACACTGCAGATGGCCCACAACCACCTGGAGACGGTGGACGACATTCGTCACCTGAAGGACTGCAGGAAACTTTGTGTCCTCGACCTTTCCCACAACAGGCTGAGCGACCCGGAGATCCTGAGCGTCCTCGAGACCATGCCCAATTTGGTAAACAATACAAACAACCACCACAGAACCGTGAGTGTGTGTGTGTGTGTGTGTGTGTGTGTGTGTGTGTGTGTGTGTGTGTGTGTGTGTGTGTGGGGCGTACTAGGGCTTGAACTCAGGGCCTGTCCATTGGCTTTTTTACTTAAGGCTGGCACTCTGCCACTTGAGCCACAGCTCTACTTCCTGATCTTTGGTGGTTAATTAGAAATGAATCTCAAAGATTTTCCTGCCCAGGCTGGCACCAAACAACAATCCTCCGATCTCAGCCTCCTGTGTAGCTAGGATTACAGGTGTGAGCCACCATGCCTGGCTCTGTGTGCCTTTTGAAGCAGAAGGGGAACTTACAGCATTTGAAAATAGTCCACTGCTGTCCTGACCTCCGGGGCACCTGCAAGCCCAGTGAGAAGGGCCCAGTCCAGGGAGGCTCACGGGAAATAGGGGCTGCATTTCCCTCCTGTCTATCACTTTTTATCTATGTGCACAAGCTTCCTTGAAAGGACATGCCGACTAGACAGGAAAGAGATCATCAGTTACACAGAGATGCAGGGCAGGAAGAGCAATTGGGCAGCAAACTAGTTTGAGCTGCACTTGGCAAAGCCTCAGGGAATGTTTTTCCAATACTTCTCTGGAAGGGGACACCAAGCTGGAAAGTTCCAGTTGAAGGGAGGGTCGCCCCACCCAATCAACTGCACCAGAAGCAATGAAAAGCATTGCTCCGATTCTTGCGCTTGGATGTGATACTCACACCTCCGTTTTTCTCAAGGAAGCACATCGTATTCTGAGGGTATCACTCAGGGGCCTGGTGTGGTGGCGTACCCCTATGAGCCCAGCTACACAGGAGGCAATGGTAGGAGGACTCACAGTCTGAGACCAGCCCTGGGCAAAAGCACAAGACCCTATCTGAAAAATAATGAAAGCAAAGAGGGGTGTGGCTGAAGGGCTGGAGTGCCTGTCTAGGTGAGCCCCTGAGTTCAAACCCCAGTGCCGTCCCCCGAAAAGCAAAGCATCATGTTGGCGCTGCCTGTCTGCTCCACAGCGCGTGCTGAACTTGATGGGAAACACAGTCATCCGACAGATCCCTTACTACCGCAGGACCGTCACTATCCGGCTGAAGCAGCTCACGTACCTGGATGACAGACCCGTGTTTCCCAAGGACAGGTGAGAAGAGCAGCCTCTGCCTCATCTCTGAACACTTCTCATTAGACTTCAACAGTGTTGAGCACTGTGGCTCACGCCTGAAAATGCTGGCAACTCAGGAGGCTGAGATCTGAGGATCCTGTTTCCAACACAGTCTGGGCAGGAAAGCCCGTGGGACTCTTATATCCAATTAACCACTAAAAGGCCACAGTGAAGGTGCGGCTCAAATGGTAGAGCAGCAGCCTCAAGAACACGAAGCCTTGGCTGAGTTCAAACCAACATACTCGCACAATAAAATAAACTAGGGTTCCAATTTTTTCCACATCCTCAGCAAACTTAATTTCCTCCTCCCTGCTCTCCCATTCCAGGATGGAGGATTTCAGGTGTGCCCAGTTCATCTACCTTTTTTTTTTTTTAAAGTCAGTTGTGGGGCTTGAACTCTGGGCCTGGGCTGTCCCTCAGCTCTTCAGCTCAAGGCGAGCGCTCTACCACTCGAGCCACAGCACCACTTTCAGTTTTCTGGTGGCTCATTGGAGATAAGAGTCTCATGGACTTCCCTTCCCAGGCTGGCTTTGAATTGTGATCTTCAGATCTCAGCCTCCCGAGTAAGATTACAGGCATGAGCCACCAGCACCCGGCTCATCTACTTTTTTACTTACAGTCATTCTACAGAATGTGACCCATTACAGTTGTGATTTGCACTTACCCAGTAGCTAATACATAATAGCTTCCTCTCATGTAATTGCTGGCAATCGGTCTGTGCTTTGAGAAAACCAATTCCATTTCTTTGCTCATAAAAAGATAACCAGAAGCTGGGCACTGGTGGCACATGCCTGTAACCCTAGCTACTCAGGTGGCTGTGATTTGAGGATCACAGTTCAAAGCCAGCCCAAGCAGGAAAGTGAGAGACACTTATCTCCAATAAATTACTCAGAAAAAGCCAGAAGTGGTGCTGTGGCTCAAGTGGGAGAGTGCTAACCTTGAGCAAAAGCAGCTCAGGGACAGCGCCAAGGCTCTGAGTTCAAGTCCCAGGAGAGGGAGAGGGGGGGGGGAAGGAAGGAAGGAAGGAAGCAAGGAAGGAAGGAAGGAAAGAAGAAGGGGAAAGGGAGGGAAGGAAAAGACTAGACTTTTCAAATAGTTGTTTTGGGTCATCAGAGAAACAGAGCAGGCTTCTTTCAGTATAGTAGTGCATTTCAGTCTCCCCCATGTTGTTCTGTGGCCCAACACCTTATTTCTGTTCATGGGTGTATGATATTCCATTGTCAGGAGCCGCTGGATCCACTTAGCCACTCACCTATTGAAGGGCTTTGGCCAGTGAGAATAAAACTGCCCCGAGCACGCACAAGCAGGCGGTGTGGGCAGAGGCCGGCTCCTCTGCGTCCTGCGCCCTTCGCTTTAGGACGTGAGCAAGTCTGTTGAGACAGCCCGTGCTTGGCGTGTGCCCCTCGCTGCTGAGAGCTCATCCCCATGTCTGGGTCTCCCCTCCTCCTCCACAGGGCTTGTGCCGAGGCCTGGGCCCGGGGTGGGCTAGCAGCCGAGAAGGAGGAAAGGCGGCAGTGGGAGACAAGGGAGCGCAAGAAGATCCTGGACAGCCTGGAGGCCTTGGCCATGATCAAGCGCCGGTCTGAGGAGCGGCGAAGGGAGAAGGCAGGCCAGGAGAAAGGTGCGTGCTCCACGGGGACACCCCTGAGCTGCCGGTGAAGCCACAGCCCTTTGTCTCCGGGATGTTTTGAGCATGTGTTCACTCACCTGTGGCTCGGTCTCCAACAATTACGTGTAAATTTCAGACCGATTCTAGAGCTGGGTGTGTTGGCTCACACCTGTAAACCCTGCTACTCAGGAGGTGGCATTTGGGAGGATCGAGGTTCAAAGCCAGTCCAGGCAAAAAGTTAGAGACCTCCATCTCAATCAGTAACCCAGCATTGTGGTCCATCCTGTGGTTCTGTGTGGGTGGCCACAGGAAAGAGCCGCACAGTCCCTTTCCAGCTGGGTGGGGTGGTGCATGCCACTGGGGGGGCTGAGGCAGGGGAATCACGAGTTCAAGGCCAGCCTGGGTTGCAATGTGAGACCCCATCTGTGACACAAAGAGCATACGATAGATAGCACTGGAACGCGTTCTTCCTGGCATGCCCCTCCTCCCTGTGTTTGACGGCAACAAGACCTTTCCTATTCAAACATGGCAAAATCCCCGCCCGACCAAAAAGTGGCAAAATTATATTGCTTTCTACCTACTTGAATGACCATACCACGAAGAGAAGACATTTTCCTGGTGGGGAGGGGCATGTATTTTTTTAAATGTTTTGGAAAACTTTCATGTTTTCAGGAAAGCTGAAAGAACAGTGAAGTGGTGACTATTATTAACACCATTCAGATGGGGTAGCTCTAAGCATCTCGCCATACATCTGCCCCCACCACATACTTTCCTCCTGAGCCAGTTGTTTTTCTTTAGGGCAGGGTCTCACTCTGTAGCCCAGGCTCCTCTGGAACCCAGAATCCTCTTTCCTCTGCCTCTGAGTGCTGGGATTACAGGGGTATGCTACCGTGCCTGGCTTTCCAGCTTTGTGCCCTTTAAAAAGTGTGGCATCTCCTAAACGACCTCGGGCTCGGCTGCCTCCAAGCCACGCTCTGGTCAGTGGGTTCTGGAGGGCCTTTCCCGTGGGCCCGCCGCCCTGCATTCCCATAGACTCTCCATGCGCACCGTGGACTTGCCCTGTCCAGGGGAGAAGCCACAGCCACAAGGTGCGGAGGGTGAGCCTGCCAGCGAGGAAGGGCCGCCTGTGCCCCCCGTGGATGCAGAAACGCAGCGGAAAGTAGAGTTGTTCGTTAACGAAAGCTTTGAGGCCAAGGATGAGCTGTTTCCAGAAAAGTCGGGTGGAGAAGAGGAGCTGCCCTTGGAGGCTAACAGAGAGAGAGAAGAGCCAGCCCAGGCCCTGGCCCCTGGGGGAGCTGCACCCCAAGGTAATGCAGCTGCCTTCTGGAGGCCCCCCTCTGCCCTAGAGTTCCGAGCCCACGGCAGTGATGCCCACCCCCCAGGCCAGCCTAAGGAGGGAGGCGGCTTCCAGTGCTTTCTGTGGCTTGTCACAGGCTGCCCATTTGCCTGGGGAAAGCAAGCGCAGGAGTAGTGACCCATCCTTGTTCCGCAGAGTCCCCCAGCCCGGGGTCGGCGGCTGACGGCAGCTTAGCTGTGGCATCTGGTGAGGATTTAGAACCCGTGGCCCTGGAGACCAAGGAGAAGCTCTTCATCGATGTAGGTGGAGGCCCAAGCTTGGGGGGCACCGGCACGCAGCTGGCAGCGCAGGGATGGGGTCCACACCCCGTGTCCTTGCCACCCACAGGGTGGCCCGGGCTAGCAGTCCGCACCGCCGAGGGGTGGGGCTGTGCGCACTCAGGTGCGGGCAGGCCTCGGGGCCTGGGGCAGGTCCACTATCACCGGAGGCCTCTCTGCAAAGCCCTTGCAGCCTGCTAATGGCCACAGCCCGGGAGTGGCCATTCCTGACTGCCTCCGTCCCGTCCCCGGGGGTGCTGAGTGAGCGCTGGCCTTCAGCCTCAGAGTCTAGCCATTTCCCAGGGGAAAAGGCGCTCTGGGGACAGGCCAGGGCACAGGACTTGGGCAGGGCAGCTGCTGCCCCCTCTGCTTGGCCCCAGGCCACATCCTGGCTCATTTCTAATGCCACACTTTGCATTGTCACCTGGTTCAGTGCCGGGTGGCCCACGTTTGGTTGTGTATATGCATTCCTATGTTTACACATAGCTAGACAATTCCAAACTAAGTCCTGTTGGTTCTGGGCTCTGTGAACATACCCAGGGCTGCTGCTGGGGGGCCGGGGTGGGGAGATGCTCCACAGTTTGGACAACCGGACGCTTCTTGCCTCCCTGGTGACGCGTGCGCATTGGCTTTTTCAGGATCTGCCTGACTTGGAGGATGTTGATGGTACTGATGCATCTCTGGAGGAGCAGGTGAGGCTGCCCGCGCTCTGCCACGCTCAGACTTGATTGCGTTGGTTCTCATCTACAAAGCACATTCCTCGCTTGGAGATAAATGTCCTTGTGCCCCAGCCTTCCTGGAGGTGGTGCTGCTCGGCTCTCAAGGCCCTGGCAGACACTGGCTTTCTCCCACTTATCTGCCTGCTGACTTGTCGCAGCTGTGCCTGCACCTGAGCCATGCATGGGAGCATTTTCCTGAGGGGCCCACCCAGCTCACCTCAGGAATCTGATTGGCTGAATTATGTGTGGACAGAGGGGAGGGCAAGGGGTGAGGCCCACCCCTCAAAGCAAGCCCAGGTGGCCAGGGCTCCTGGGGAGCTGTGGTACAGGGGCAGCAGGTGGGCAGACGCCCGGGCCAAGCCTATCTGACACCCAGTGGGCAAGGCCACCCTGTGGTGTGGGGAAGAGGGCGGGTACCCCGGGTGACTGGTGCAGATGGAGCTTGCTCAGTTTTTCTGTCCCCAGCAGGAATCTTGTCCAAAGATCGAGGCCATCTCAAGCTTGAGTGACGACGATGCCGACAGTGACCCTGAGCTGAACCACACCCACACGGGTGCCCTGACCGGCATCTTCACCCTCTCTAAGGACCCCTCCAAGAAGGCCCGGCAGCCTTTTGCGGGCATATTTAAGGAAGGGACAAGTGAGCAGACGCAAAGGCAGACCACAGCAGCCTTGGGGCCACTCATTCAGGAGCTCAGTGACCCTGAGCCCGCAGGCCAGCTGCCCCTACCCTGCACGACAGACCCTGCACCTGCCCCTTCCCAAGAGGCTGGGGACAGTCACCCGCCAGGTAACATGCCTGCACCCCAAACCTGGGGGCCATCCACCCTGCAACAAGACCAGGGGTAGAGGGGTGAGGACGGTGGGTGACAATGAACCTCAGCCTGGAGCTCTGGCTCATGACTCAGGACAACTCCCAGGCTCATGGGCCAGCTGCCACTTGTGGGGCGTAGCCTGGGCTGAGCCTCCAGCTGCCTGGTGGCCACAGAGAGCTCAGCAAGTCCTGGGCTAAGAAACGGGCTTTCAAATCATCCTTGGCTTTTCCAGCCTGGGACAAGGCCAAGGTGTTGGCTGAGGTGTAGCTGCAGGTGGAGGAGGGGGGAGCTGCAGGGGGTGGGCTGCAGGTGGGGAGGGGAGGGAGCTGCAGGGGGTGGGCTGCAGGTGGGGAAGGGGGAGGGCGCTGCGGGACAGTGAGCACCCTTCTTCCTCTTGTGTCTTCAGGTGACAAAATGGAAAAGCATGAGGTATGGTCTGTGGCAAAGCCCAGCATGGAGACAGGCCGAGAGGACATTGAGTTTGGCTTGGACTGAAGCCAAGGTGGCCCTCACCATCAAACTGGCAGGGGCAGGGAGTGGGCACGGTCTACCCCTTCCTCCCACAGGGTGGCCACGGAGCCCACTCTGAAGGCTGGGCTGTGAGAGGTTCCCCCCCCATGTGGGACCCCAGGTTCCCTGTACACAAGCAGCATGGCTAGTGCAGTCACGCGATGTGATTATAAACTTCTTGTTAGCAGTGTCACATGGCTGGTGTGCACAGATCACATGCCTTTCCTGCTAGGCTGGGACCAGGTGACCCAAAGGGGCAGAGAGGGCACGGGCAGTGTGGAGCACTGCAGGGGTGTCCACAGTGGGCCCTGAGAAGCTGGGGTGAGCTGAGTAGATGGTCCCCCCATTCCCACCAGACACCAGTGCCCCCCAGCCCAACTGCTGCCTGTGGGCTCCCCAGGGAGGCGGCCTCCCTGGCCCTCAGAATCCCATGCGTGGCTTCTTCCGGGGAGGCTGGGAGCTGGTGAGGCCAGGTGTCTGCTGTGAGAGGGGCACCGTGGCTTGTTTGGGGGTGTCCTCGGGTGGCAGCCTGGCCACCTGGTCCCGGAGGGGCTGCCGCCGCTCCAATGGGGCTCGGGGTAACCAGGGTCCCGACAAGGATGCCTGGGAGGGTGGCGTCCCTGGGGGCCGTGGCGCAGCCTCCGAGGGGCTCGGGGTGGGGCCACCGGGGCTGTCCGGGCGGTCTATGCAGCTGCTCTGTGAGAAGGTGCTGGACAGCTGAGTCCGGCGCTTGGCCCGCTTGGCCTGTTTCTTGGGCCCTGAAATCTTGTCCTGCTGTCTCCCCCACCAAGCAGCACCCCGGCCTTCCCAGGCCTCCCCCAGACGCTCGGTGAGCTGGTCCTGAGGGCCTGGCTGGGGGGCGGGGGGTGGTTCTGCAGCAGGGAGGGGGCCCAGGTCCCCGCGCCGCAGCAGCCGCCCCTCGGCCATGGCTGCCCGCAGGCGCTCCGTGGTCTTCCCTGCGCTCTGCTGCAGCTCCAGGCGGCCCAGTAGGTGGCGGTGGGAAAAGGTGGGTGCAGTCCACGTACGGGGTGCACGGGGTACCTGCAGCAGGGCCTCCAGCCACCGGCTGCAGTGGGCAGTGGCCTGGGCATCCCAGGACGGTGTGGGCGCATGGTCCTGAGGGTGAGAGGCCGCGCCGGCAGGAAGGCGGTGGGGCCCCGGGCTGCCTGGAGCCCCCTCATCACGGAGGCTGCAGGCCGTCTGCAGGCGGAGGTGTTGGTAGAAGATGTCCCCGGCGGCCGAGAGCTGGAAGACTGACAGGATGGGCGTGGAGCCACAGGGTGGTGGGATGGTGGCAGACAGGCCTGGAGGGAGGAGAGCATGGTGATGGGCAAGGCTGGCACCTCCCTTCCCATAGCTGCTGACCCTCTCCCTGCCCGGCTACCTATAGTTGTAGCTTCCAGGCGCTCTTGCAGCTGCTGATGGCTCTTGGGCTCCAGCAGGGGAAAGGCAGACAGGGAGTCGGTGCAGGAGGGCAGGGACTGCGGGTGTGTGGCCAGCCGGGGCGGGGAGGTTCCGTCTCCTGGAGGAAGGACAGTCAGCTAGGCCCAGGGACCCCCGCCCGCGGGCTCGCCGTGCGCCCCCGGCCAGCCCAACCCACCTGTGATGTGCAGCAGCTGCAGCTGACCCCCCTGGCCCCCCAGAAGCAGGGGCTGCGGGCAGCTGGGACCAGGAGGAGGCAGCAGGCAGGCCAGCAGGGGCGGGGAGGCCAGGCCATGGTCCCATTTCATCATCGGCACCAGGGGGAGGCGCTCGTCCACCAGGTAGAGGGAGAACTGGGGCAGGAAGGAAGCAGGACTGGCATCTGGGGAGGGCCCTCGTTGGCCTGCCCGACCACGACGCTCTCGGGGCACGTGACGGCCCGTGGAGGCCTGCCCGACCACGAGGCTCTCGGGGCACGTGGGAACCCAGCAGCAGCGCTCTGCCCAGCCTCGGGACCACCCTGGGCGAGCCGCTGGCACAACTGGGGACATTATAAGAAGACTACACAGGGCCCCTCCCGGAAACCTGTCCCCTAGCCAGGACCCCCACAGGGGAGGACAGACGTGTGCCTCAGCAGGAGCCACCTGCTCTGCACAGGCGCCCAGCTCCGCCCCCACCTGGATGCCCACTGGAGTGGCACTGAGAGGAAAGGCCACCCTGGCCCGCCGGCCACCACGCACAGACATCTCCAGACAGCAATTCAAGTGCTGCCGTGGGCAGCTCTGGTGTCTGAGGACAGGGTGGAGGTGTGCTCACCTGGGTGCAGACGAGGTGCAGTGTGGGCGGGAGAGACCCGCCGTCCGTCTGGCCCAGGTACTGGACGAGCAGCACACGCTCCCCTTTCTGGCAGGAAGCCTCTGCCCCCCCTCGGAAAAGCATCAGCCCGCAGCCCGGGGGTGCCTAGGGAGGACACAGGGTCAGAGCTCCCCTCCCCCCACCGTGTAGGGGTCGGAGCCGGGGGAGGGGGGCACCTCCACCTATGCCCACCTGTGTGTCGATCATCTTCACACCGGTGCGGTCACCCACGGTGAGCACCCGAGGGTGGGCCGTGAAGTCTGCCCAGCGCCAGGGCGAGAGGTCCCGGAACACGAGCGTGTCCGAGTCCTTGTAGATCTGCTGTAGCCTAACGGAGAAGGCACATGTGGGCACCAAGGCGGGACATGGAGGCCAGGCTCGGGTGAGCGCGGGTGGCATGCTTATGGGGAGAGGGGCAGTACCCGTCCTGGGGCGTCCAGAGGCACACGGCTCCGGAGCGGCTGCACACGGCCAGCTCCCCTGGCAGGTGGGGGCTGTGGGCACAGGAAAGTGTGAGGCGGATGGGGGGGGGGGGGCCGCAGCCGGCCCTTCTCCCAGCCGCCTCCGGCCCCTCACCTGAGACTGACCCCGGTGGCACCCTTCTCCACCTGGACCACCTGCAAAGGGGCGGGCCGCCCCTGCCTGCCCACCTTCCACACGGCACAGTGGTAGTCGGAGCGGACAGCCAGCAGTGCTGCGGAGGAGAGGTTGGGGGGGGGGGGGGGTCAGGCTCCGGTCAGGCGGCAGGCTGGGTGGGGTAGAGGAGAGGTGCCAGGGCCTTACTTTCTCCCTGGACGGTGCAGGTGACAACCTGCCGAACAGGTCCCCGGAGCTGGATGCATCCAGGGTCCCCTAGGACCTGGGGGTCACCGGCGGAAGCCAAACTGACCTCCTGGAGATCTGAGTCTCTGGCTAAGGATCACACGGGCTCCCACCCCAGCTCCGGCCCTTCCCCTCCTCCAGCCAGTGAGAGAGGATACACAGCCTGTCCAGGGCGCCTCCGGTGGGGTAGACCAGCTGCCCGGTGCCCGCAGTCCTGCCAGGCAGCCAGGCCAAGGCGCCCCCGGTGAAGGCCTCGTCCAGCATGAGCTGCTCCCACGTCAGGGCCAGCTCCTCCCGCAGCAGACGCCCCAGCAGGCTCGAGACCGTCCTGCTGAGGACGGGGCCCCCGAGGATGGAGAAGCGGCGTTGCCGGTGGGTGAGGTAAGCCCAGGGACACCTGGGGGCAGGACGGCAGAGGATGACGCTGAGCAGCCACGGACAGGACACTGGCCAGGCTCGCAGTGTTTCTATCCTCCCACAACCACCCCCGTGCCCCACACCGGGAGCACACGTGTGACCCCTGCGCAGAAACTGCAGGAAGATGGATGTGGGACCTCAGCCAAGCCTCTTCCCTCGGAATCACAGGCCACCTTGCAGGCCCTTCAAACAGCTGCAGGAGTCAGGCCGGGTGGAGGGGCGCGCATGACTCAACAGGAGACAGAGTCCCCCCCCCCCCAACATTATCCAACACCCCGACGCAGCCAGGCCTGAGATCCAGGAACAGGCTCCTGGAGTTGAGTATTTCTGGCACAGGGAAACCTAGCTCATGACCACATGGGGTGGGGAGGCGGATGTGACAGAAACCTGGGTCACACTGCGGCCCCTTCCACATCCCCACCACCAGCGCCGCCTTGCCGCCATCCGGTCCTTCCTCCCTGGCCACTTGCCCCCAGGGTTGGTGTCCGCTGAGGTCCCGGACCAGGTTCTTCACGCTGACGACCGTCACCTTCTTAGAGCGGCTCTGCGAGGAGAGGCCTCGTCAGGATCCCGCGCCCCGGGCCTGCAAGTGAGGGAGCCTTTCCCCGGCCACTCCGGTCCACTCACCCGGTTTCCCTCCAGCTTGAAGTTCTCCAGCATCAGCTTCCCCAGCGGGGTGAAGGCCACGTCCCCATGATCCCACAGGAAGTGGCTGAGCTGCGGAGGGGAGGGGGACCCAGGAAGTGACCCAGCTGCAGGGGGGTGGGCAGGCGCCAGGTCACTGAGCACGGCCAGGGCTCCGCGGCACCCCTCACCTGCTCAGTAATGTCCAGCACAGCCCGGGGCTGCCTCCGATAGGGGTTCGCGCCTCGGAAAAGGAGGTCACGGGCTGTCAGGCCAGGGTCCCAGGGGTCTAAGGAAGACGAAGTTAGGGGAGAGACTGGGAAGCCCCAGTGATGGCGGGGTCTGGGGGTGTCTGGCTGGACGCCATTAGCAGGGTCAGGGAGGAAGCAGGCCGTTACCGGGACCGGGAGGCAGCAGGGGGATGGGTCCTGGCAGCGCCGGCTCCCACAGCAGGTCCGGGGCCGGGTGGAGTGCCCCACCCTAGGGAAACAAGCAGTCCAGCCCGGGCTGGTCAGGGCTGGTCAGCGCTGATCGCCACGCCTGCTCCCACCCCACCCAGCAACCCGCGAGCTGGTCCAAGTGTTACGGTCCTTTTGCTGATGGGAGACTGCAGCATGGAAGGCTGTCACTTGTCCCGCGGGACAGAGCCAGTAGTAAAGAGAAGAGCTGGGCAGATCATGGCTGCGTTATGTTTTAGAGCCAAAGAGCGAACCACCCAAATGTCTACTACCCAAGTGTCCTCCAGCGGATAAATGGAGGCCAGGAGCATCCACAGCGTGGGTATCTCCAGTCACAAAAAGGGATCAAGTACCAAACGAGAGAAAGCCCGAGCCAGAGGTTGACAGGAAAAGTGGGGCCTGGTTTCTGCCAAGTCACCCCGTGTGGACACACACACTCCCAGGAGACTGGCCAGGGCCCCTCCTGGAGCCGCCAGGGCCCTGGGGCCATCCTCACC